TTTAATCTGTAGTCTCAGCCCTTCGTTTGGGTATAAATCTTTACTGGATTGTCTCAGATTTTGTATATCAAAAAAAATAAAATGTCATGAAAAATGCAGTTTTCTCATAAATTCCATTCATTCCTATGCGGGTCAAAATGACCCGTGAGGGACACTTTTGTTACTTTTTTTTATTGCACCCATTTAAACTCCTCGAATCCACTCAAAAAACTTTTTTTGTGTATTCCCGGTGCAAGTGTGACAAAAGTAAAGAAATCTTGGACCAGTACGATCAACACACAATTTTTTACATTTTTTTGAAAATCGTTTTCAGGTCAAAATGACCCGAGGGACAGATGAGGATTTTAATCCAAACTGTGTTCATATTTAATTTGAAAGGGCTTTTAAAACCTGCTACAGTTATCCAGCCAACAATAACAACTAACTAACTAAAAAATCAGTCCGTTTCATATCAGTCCGTTTTTCTGACGGACTGATATGACATACTGTATATAACACTGTTAACCATACATTTGTAAATTTTCTGTACTGTGTTGTCTGGACAATATATATGCATGCTGTGCTATTTCTATAAACTTGAGGCCTGTGATCACTTGTCTCAAAAGAAGGATCTGATGATCCTCAAATGCAAACTGTGTGTTTTGTTTCAAGAGAGTAACCATACATTTGTGTTGTGGTTTACTTTCTTTTATTCATTCATTCATTCATTAATTCATTCATAATCATTTATCATTTAATCATTTTATTCCATTCAGTCATATAATAATTTATAATAATCATTTTAACCATTTACTGTATATACTCATTTCATTGATTCATGTATTGATTAGTCATTTATATTATAATTTTTATATTATTTTCCCCTTGTTGTTTAGTGTTATGACTCTGGCGTTTCAAGGGCTGTTTGTCTTCATGAATAAGAGATAAAAGAGAATGTTTATGGAAATTCAAGGTTTATGGGATGTTGTGAATCAGTTTGGTATAACAGTACTTGTTGGATCTGTGTTCATCAGACGAAGTCTGAGCATTGAAACATACACAACTAAGACTATTCAATAAACTCTGCTCCTTTTTTATCATCACTTTGTCTCCTGCTTCTGCTCTTCACTGACATTATTTAGTCAACTTCTTGGCTGATAGAAGACTGTTAATACAGGTTGGGTACCAAACAAGACTTGCTGTTAACAGGTTTTGGGTTTTAGGCAACTTTACTGATTAGTTGTTGTGTTAAGCCAGGCTTACACTACAGGATTGAAAGACTAGCCGAATCACTGTGTTGCTCACACTACGCAACAAGATTTGTTCTCATCTGTCATCGTCTTGTCATAGCTGCGCGCATACTACACAACACAACGCTAACGAGGTGCACACACTACAAAACATTCAGTGAAGAGGCGTTCCCGACCATCAGCGAAAATACGTTTTCTCACATAAATTCTCGTGAGAAAGTGATTATAGGGCATATCTCCAAGCATGGACGATCAACTGGCCCTTCAATTGGTCTGTGCAGTTATTTTATCGGAAAGAAAGAAGAAACCATGACAAAAAAAGAATATGGCAAAAACATTGGCTTGGAAGAAGTGAACAACAAGAACTGTCAGTACTGCAGAAAGATTATTATGTTGAAAACAGCTAAGTAGAATTTTTCAGGTTTCTTTGATTAATAGAAAGTTCAGAAGAACAGCATTTATCTGAAATAGAATTTTTTTGTAACATTATAAATGTCTTTATCGTCACTTTTGATCAATTTAAAGCATCCTTGCTAAATAAAAGTATTAATTTCTATCATTTCCCCCCCAAAAAAAAAAACTAAAATAAATAAAATAAAATAAAATAAAAAGCAAACTTACAGTTTGTTTGCCTTTGTTGACATGACTTAAAGTTTGCATCATTGTAACAATTACCAGTTTATATTAAATAATTAAAAGATCTCATGCACTGTATCTAGTTCAGAAAAAGTTCTATGCAAATTATTCTCTATATTTATAGTTAAATTATTCACAATTATGTGCTTCATCTCATGTTTTCTATATTCATGGAGCAGTATTGTTATAGTTAACTAAAACAAAATAGGCCTATATATAAAAATGTGTTAACTGATATAAATTAGGGCTGCACGATAAATCGCATGCGATATTTAACGCGCATCTTGTCAGTAAAGCCGCTTCTGTAATCAACGGTAAATCCCCATCACGTACGGGCTTTCAGATGGAGCAGCATTTACTACACAGAGCCACTGTTCACCGCCAAGCT